ATATATATATATATATATATATTGATGTGGTTTTGTTCTCTGAGCTGGATGGTTAATTTGCGAAGCTTTCATCACCCTACTGGGTGACATCTTCAGCGCATACTTCAATTTGAAGTGAGCTTTTAGATTTCTCCACGAGTTTATTAATCATCTCTCCTGGTGATCTTGGACGTGATCGGTTGTTTTTGTGTGTGTTTTCACACCTTCTAGGCTACTTGTATTGGAACTGGTTGTTTCTTTGGCTTGAACTTTGACCCTTTGTGTGTGAAGTTTCTTTCTTATTGGTTGATAAATTTTGTCTTTCTCTATGTATCTATTGCCAAGCTTCTAAAAATCCTCTAGCATTCTTGTTGTTTCCTCTGTTTAATATATGAACGCTGGTTATCCCAGTCGAATTGATGTCCGTGGTTGTCTGTGTGTAGTGATATGAGGGAGTGGATATCATGTCTTTTGATGGCTAACCTATGTTCGTGGATACGAAGACGAAGGGGACGTCCACTTTGGCCAATATAGTGTTTTTCGCAGTTGTTACAATTTATTCTGTAGATGATGTTGGTTTTATCTTCTTTCGCTGTTGAGTCTTTTGGTTGACATAGAGTTGAGTGAAGCGACTTTCTTGGTTTGTGTACGACGTCAATTCCTAGAGGTTTGAAGAGTCTTGTAGTGATTTCTGAGATATCCTTTATGTATGGTAAGGCGATTTTCTTTGTGCTTTCCTTGGTGGCTTTTGCTTTGATAGGTTGACTTGGGGGTATATGTCTTTTGATGAAATTCCGTGGATATCCATTCTTTTGGAAGACGTCCATGAGATACTTTACTACAATTTTCCTTAAGGTGGGAGTGCTGCGATGAGTTCTGCCTGGCTCTCTTGAATAGTGTTTATATGCAATTCCTTTTGTGTGTTATTGGATTGTTGCTGTTGTAATTTAGGATTTGGTCTGTGTGAGTTGATTTCCTATAGACTTGAGTTTCTAATTCTCCTGCGGTTGTTCGCCTGCCTAAGACGTCCAAAAATGGTATTTTGTTCCTGGATTCCTCATCTCTTGTGAATTGGATGTCGTTGAAGACGTTGTTTATTAAGTTGTGAGTTTTATCTAACTCGTTTCTTTTGATTATTACAAATGTGTCGTCGACGTAGCGTATCCAAATCTTGGGTTTGATCTTTGGTAGAATTATGTTTTCGAGTATTTGCATCACTGCTTCTGCAATCAAACCTGATATTGGCGATCCCATGGGTGTTCCTTTGACTTGTTCATATATTTGGCCGTTGAATTGAAAGTATGTTGTTAGGCATAGATTTATGCATTCCATCCAGCTTGTGTGTTGCATTTTTGATTGTTGTGGAAGATGTTCATCGTGGCTAAGTAATTGCTCCATGGTTTTTTTTGCTAGTTTTTGTCTGATGGAGGTATATAATGCTGTCAAGTCGAAGGAGACCATTATTTCTTGTTCATCTATTTGGATGTCTCTGATTTTCTCTAGGAATTGAATAGCAGAGTTGATGGGGTGAGTGAGTTCAAGTCAAAGAAACAGTCAGTTCCAATACAAGTAGCCTAGAAGGTGTGAAAACACATACAAAAACAACCGATCACGTCCAAGATCACCAGGAGAGACGATTAATAAACTCGTGGAGAAATCTAAAAGCTCACTTCAAATTGAAGTATGCGCTGAAGATGTCACCCAGTAGGGTGATGAAAGCTTCGCAAATTAACCATCCAGCTCAGAGAACAAAACCACCTCAAAATCATCCACCTGAGCTACAAATCTTCTCTATCATATATATATATATCGCATAATAATCATGATAATAATAATTAAAATATTCATAACAAGACGAACAGGCACAAAGAGAAAGCCAGCAGGTTATAATCATCAATGCTTTTTTTAAAATTCTAGTTTACTGACATTTGGTTTGGTTGGTGTTTTCGTTTTTGACCTTGAAACAAAAAAAGAAGTGTCCAATAATACGGTTTATAGAGTAGGCAAAGAAGAATAGTAGTCACCTTGATGTTCCTTCTTTTTTCCATCGATTACACACAGCTGTCGAACTGTATCAAAGAAAGCGGACTACTGTATTATTACTTTTTCATGCACTTTTCTAATATGTGGTTGCGGTTTATATTCCTAACTTATATTGATGTTCTCTATCATTATTATTATTATTATTTATTATTAGTATATCCTTCAGTTCCTAGAGGAACATAGAGCTTCAGCTGCCCACCTCCATTGCCTTCTGTTTTCTGACAACTTTTTCACCCCGCTCCAAGTCTGTCCACATGCTTTCATCTCCTCCTCACATGACCTCCTCCAAGTCATCCACCCTTGCACTGACCACCAATTCGCCACCCGCTTCCCTTTCGGGTTCCACTCGAGTAATGGCTTGTCTAGTGATGTCACTCACTTGATGGTTTGTTTCCTCAGAGTATGGCCAACCAATCCATCTCCATTTCTTCCTGCTTATTTGTTTCACAATCGGTTCCTGCTGTGTTGGTTCGGTCAATGCCAGAGATCCCAGCCTGTTGCTGATCTTTTCTGGCTGGCCATCTGATCTTGAGTATTGAGCGAAGACGACTGTTAATGAAGGTCTATAGTTTGTTTGAGGTTCTCTCTATGACGCGCTGGCCAAGTCTCTGATCCGTATGGTAAGTATGGTAATCCATCCTAGATCAGATACCATTGCCCGTCGTGGAAGGTGATGCCTAGCCATGTCTAACATAGAACGTCTTAACCACCTCAATTGGTGTAACTTCACAACCTCATCGATAGATTTCCCCTCCTCACCTAGCACTCGACCGAGGCCTAACCTCAATATTGCTCACCTTCTTATACCACTTCACACGGGGGATAGATCGCAGTCACCTACGATCAAAGTCAGCTAGCCAGGCTTTTCACGTCTTTCACTCTCAATGGCCAGGTATCACAGCCATGAAGGAGGACGGAGCGGACTGATGAGCAGTACACACGCCCTTTGGTCGATAGCCAGCCGGATATCAGGTCTACGCCATTGGTGGCGTAAACTGGAATATGCGAAACGAGCCTTTTGTATGCGTGCCGAGATTTCGTCAGTGATCAACCCTCCGGCACTGGCTGATGCAGCTTCCCAAATAACTGAAGTGGTCAACACGCTCCGCGAACCACTTCATTCCCTATTTCTAAGCTAGGAGTTAATGTAGTTCAGTCCAGTCCTGTGCGTCGCTGAGGTTCAGCGGTAGGATGGTCTCCCAACGACGCACGTGGTCTGGGATTCGATTGTTTGTTGACAAACACGTTTGCCTCCCTTAGTTGGTTATAAGTCAGGCAAAGAGGGAAGTTTGGGCGTGAGGCTAACAACCCTTACCACGTAAAAGTAAACACCACTGCTGTTGACACTTCAAACCTCAAGTTTGAAGGTCTATGTTCCACTGGGGTTGCAAAGGAATAATAATGATTTTAATAATAAAATCAACCTCGGCTTTTTTATAGCGCTACATATCATTAGGATGCTACTCTTTCCACTTTCACAGTGAAAAACACTGTGAACAGACTTTTTGAGTACTTAGCCTAGCCGCTAAATACTACTAATTGTCATACTGTCTAATGTTGAGTGACTGACTTACATCGGATACAGCGTATCATACAGTCGGGTCGCTTGACTCAATACTTTTGTTATAAACGATATAAATAGATCTTGTCAAGAAGGGAGAGAGAGAGTATGGAGAATACGAAGTCGGTTTAATTTTTAATTAGTGACAGTCGACCGTATATCTGACCGTGGGATAATGTCGCTTTAATTCTCTGCTGTTTTATACAGTTACCAAAGATTAGATTTCATCAGAAAATATCTGTTCGGAAATTTCCCTGTTTTTAACTACTTCTAAGTATCTGTCTTTGGGACAGGATAAAGGTCATTTATTCTCATTGAAGGTCAGAATGATTGATCGATTTATCTTATACATGGGTTTCTCTACCAGGTAATCAACTCATACGCTTAGCACAGTCAAACGTCAACTTTTTTCAACTTGTGGTCACACAACAGCTCCGTTAATGGTTACTATGACACCAAAGTTGATCTTGAATTTGGGTGTAATGATAAGGTTACTCTTCACCACCCAGCATTATATAGCCAGAGCCAACACAGGGTACGCTCTTCGTTTAATGCAACCAAGGCAAAGTGGATTTTGGGGCATATATATGTGCATATTTAACTGGCGGATGTGGCGCAAGAATTAAAAAAGTGGAATCACTTATTGTGCATCTCTCTAAAAATACTGGCTGACTACCTATTAAGTGAAGTGTACTAGTGCAGTTGAATAGTCTTAAGTCCAATGTTCCAAAGCCAGTCTTTATTATTATTATTATTATTATTATTATTACTTTTTATTGATCTGTAACCTCAGATGACGCACACTAATTATAAATTTGTATGAATTCTATACACTTGAAAAATGAATCTGTTTTAAACAAATAGTACAATACTAACCTTTCTCAAAGTTAGTCGATAATACTTTGTCAATAACTGTGATTTTCAACTATTGGTTTTTTTTGTGGGGATTTTGTTTGATTGATTGGGGAGAGAGAGGATTTCGTCATCATGAGCTGACACATCAGTTAGAAAACCATTGGAAAACAAGCTGGGAGTACTGCCTGATAGCTGTTTCCGTTGTTCTAGTTTGGCACCAGCTCTTCATCAGTACGCATCCACCGCGCCAGGGTTCGAACCCAGGACCTTCTGGCTACAAGGCGAGCTAGCTCGTAAACCATTAGACAGCCATTGAGACCCGATCCAGTAGCCGGCGAGTGAATTCTACCACTGCACGACACAACACGAGCAATTCTCAGTGTCTTCTTCGATGGTGGGTGCGCACTGACGAAGGGTGCCAAACTAGGACAACGGAAGCAGCTGTCCAGTACTGTGTAATACTGTTTCATCCCCCTCTGGTATTTCTCAGCAGACGCTCATTAGGTGTAGTAATCAACACATTATTCTCCTTCTTCTTCTCCTCTTCACTCTACTCGATCAGACTTTAACAGTCAGTCAGTCAGTGAGCGAGCGAGCGTATCGTGAGTACAAATCAACGTTTTGATGTTATCGCAGATTAACTAAATTTTGGTCAATTTAATTACACCTAATCATCACTTATTGGTGTGCATGAAAATAGCTATTATTCGTGAGCACAGTTTGGTGGGTTTTATCATAATCATTATTATTATTATTTTTTGTCTTCTTCATGAATTGATGAAATTCTTTTTCTCTCTATTTCAAGTTCATTATGAAACCCAACAATTCATAAAAGTAAAATTTGAATTTAACGTTTTTTTTTTCTAAAATTAAATAGCATTCGTTTTAACTTTGAGTGATAGTCGATCGTTTTGATTGGCCAATAGTTGGTACCCTGGTGTAATGTGTCTAGTCCGTTGATTGGTGTAGAGTGAATTCTGTCAGTCAAGTTTTCTATTTGGCCACCATGCCACTCCACTAGGTGGTGGCTCTTCATCACGGTGCACTGTGAATTGTTGATATTAGACGGTTGGAGGCAATATCCAGGAAGCCCAGCCTAACCTAAGTTTCGTGCTACTTGACACTCATTTCCCCTCCGAGATTCGAACTCATCTCGCCCAATGCTGCAGTCAGAGACGTCACCAGTAAGCTATTCAGGCTAGCGACTGACTTCCTGTACGACCTCTTATCCTGTATAATACAGTTCATTAAGATGGAACGATGTGGTGATTTGTGATTTGTGCAGAACATAATATGATGGCATCGCTTAATTCAGTCAGTTTCTCATCAGTTGCGTACAGCCTTGAAGAAATTAATTAAGTTTGTGTGGAGAACAATTTGCAAGTACGTTAAAATAAACTATGGTACCATATGATTCTGCACAAACCGTTATTTTTGCTTTATTCAGATTCATAAAAGTGGATAAGAGTATAAAGTCTTCATAATTGATGGGATTGGACATCATCGGTGTGCACAAACTGTACTTCTGTGAGGATACATATACTTATACCTTGAAAAGTAGTGTCAGAGAATACTGTGATACCTGCTATATCCTTAGCTTTGTTGCATGTTCGCCTCAGTGAATAAAAAGTTGAAGCTTCATACCATTTATCCTTCAGGCTCTTTGGTAACTAGTAATATGGCTATTCTTAGCATTCTGTGACTTAGAGATGGACAGCGAAGTGGTAGAGCATATTGACTACTTCACTTGTTTCGGGAGTTGCATCAGCCGCAACTGCTGACGAAATTACATGTGTCTGCGTTCTGTCTCCGATTTTAGTTGGCAGTATAATAGGGTGAGTCATATCGAGATTGGGAGTAGAGGAGGGGAAATCAATCGATGGTGTTGTGAATTCACATCGATTGAGATGGATAACACATGTGTTATGCACATCTAGCCATCGTCTTCCTCGACGGGTGACATAGAATGGATTAGGTTGAAAAACAGTTAGCTAGTGGTCGCCAAACCAAGACATGGCTTCATGAGTCAGTGAAAACCTTGACAGTTATTTCATATTAGTTTGTTTATTAGATGTATCACTCTGTGAGTGAAACAGTATTAGTCTTTACTGGATGACACAGTTTCGAACAAAATTTATTGTACTTCATAATCATTTCATCAATTGTAATCACACGACTTCGAAACTTGACTTTATATTTTTCTTTGTCTTTCCCTATTTGTCGTAGAGGTAGTTGAATTTTCCAGATATCCAGATGGACAGGTGTTGAATCATTCCTATTATACACGTATTCCTTTTCACTTGATTCCATAAACAAAGCTTTCGCTGTCATCAATCTCTCTCTCTTTCCCCAACCCGTTACATTAGATTTTAAATCTGTCATCTTATCCCATCCATCCTATTGTATGGTTGTGTGTAGTTGTATACAGTGAGTGCTATAGCTGAACTATTCTCCAGATTTCTTATCTTATTCGGGTCAGCTAATGAAGATTTTGTAATAGAGACTGTCTCGGACATCTGGAGAAGTGTACTACCGCTACGATAAATGGGAAGGAATGACGAAAGCTATAGAAATGGGGATGTCGGAGTTGTGTAGTTATAATTGATGAAATGATTATGAAGCACAATAAACTGTGTTCGAAGCATTGTCATCCAGTGAATACTATTGTTTCTGTGACTGTGTGATACATCTGATAAACAAACCAATTGGGAATTACATACTACCGCGCAGTGCTCAAGTGCTTACACATACATTAACCTTGACAGTTTAAGCCAGCCATGTAGGGAGGATGTAGACTCCCTGACTAGTTGGGGCCCTCGACATGGTGAAAATTCCTTTCTTTTTATCTCATATTTCTGTTTATCATCTGTCTTTACTCTCTTCTCTTGGTTTGTGCGCTACAAGGGGTTGGGGAGTGTGGCAACTCAAACTGCTGCACATTTGTGCAAAGTTCTATGTTGAAACCGGTCAGTCATTTCATTTCATTAGCATTTACAGTTGAATTGATGTTCTAATGTTTGACCAGTCTTCATTGCATAAATTCAAGTGTCTTTTCGAGGCCAAGTAATTCATATCACAGTGCACCTTGCTGTGGGTTAATTAAATTAGTGAATTTGATATCGGTGCTTTAAACTATGCTAAATTGCATTGTCATCAATTAATTACAGCAGTTTACTGGTAATGGAAATCAGTAGATCGCAAAGTAACTGCTTGCTAACTATTACCTGCAAACATTCAATGTCTAAAATAATATAAAGTACAGTATGGGAGCACTATAAGAATTAGGTGATCACTTCACACAGTTATCATGATTCTCCTACCAACCAAAACATTAGTCAATGGCGCGTTAGTTACTGTTCAACTAATTAGTGTACACATCGCGCGCCGGTGGCACAGAGATATATAATGGTCGCCCACCACCACGCATATGTTTTGGGGTTCGATACCCGGCCACCGACGCACTTTTTTTACCTCCCTAAGCCAGCGATAAGACTGCTGAAGAGCAAAGGTTGGGGGCATGAGGTTAGCAACCGCATCCCGTAAAAGTAAACACCACTTCTACTGAAACTTTTAAGCCGCTAGCTTGAAGCCCTATATATTCCACTGGGAACGTAAAGGAGGAAAAACATCAGTGTACACACTTTATTTCTCCAATTCTGCTGACATAATTAAATAACGAAATGCGACGCATGACACTACCACCCTGGCGAAGCCTTATTATCATAGTGCTCAGTTATCAGCTAATATGAAAAAAAATAAATTACTCTTAATGACTGTAACTCATAATTACATTGTCTTAAATAACTTACTTCTAGGTTTCGTCGGTGGAAACTAGTGTGTCATTTCTTCCTGTCGTCTGTATCTACGTGGCTAGAAAGGACCAATAATTTTACTACGAGGTTTGTCAAACACAATGAGGATTGAAGGGGCGAAAGTGAAACCTAGTTATCGGGTAGCCTAGTTCACCTGTAAGGGGAATTGACGACTGTCTGTTTCTGATCTTGATATAAGAATAAGAGTTAGGCAGGTGGTGGAATGTAATCCCATCATAGAATAGTGTAATTGATGAAATTGTCTTATTTTATTCTCCCTGCTTTCCAAGTGAGACATATAGCTTCAAGTTTAAGCTCTGGAGTTTCAATAGCACTGGTGCTTTTTTTCTTAACGGGATGAGGTCGCTAATCTTACAGCCAGCCTCCCCTCTTTGTCGATCTTACTACGGACTAAGGTAGGTTTTGGACGGCGTCACCTGGAAATCGAACCCCGGGTAACTTGGGTGGTTGGTGAACTGAACTATCAGTGCACCAGTGTACCATGCAGCGCTCGACAGCTGTTGCATCCTAGATTGGGACTCTTCATAAGTACGTACCCAATGGCATTAGAATCCAGAAGCTTTGGGTTATGAGGCGAGCTCGTCGGCCATTCAGCCACTGGGATGTTCGATAAAAAAAAACTCAGCGATACAAATTGTTGCTCACAACAGTATTGTAACAGTAGAAGACAAGAGACTTGGTAATGGAATGTTTATTGGGAATTTGGCATTTATAAATACAAAAGAATCGTTACTGAACAAAGAATACTCTTTTCGATAACCCTTTCATCATCAGGCTCTACATTTATATACGCATTCATAGTAGTGAATGAATCAATGAATCAGTGTTATGAACAACATTAATGTTGTTGTTGTTTAAATAACATCGAATCACAAATACGAATAGATTACAGCTCAATAGCATCAACATAAAATAAGCTGAATGTCGGAAAAATTAGGAAAGATAATAATTATACAAATTCATAAATTTATAGTCTCTACTGAAGGCCGGCCAGGGAAGTAGTAGGGGCTAACTGGACTCGCTTCTTTTGAATGCAGAGCGCTGGCTGTGTTGAAGCGAATTGCAATGGCCTCTGCTGTTTGAAACATGTGATGCTTCGATGTTTTTTGGAAATTTATCAGGCACCCCGTAAATGTTGATAGACAAGCATTCTTCAACGCTGGCTGGCTTCGTGACCAGTTTGCACTGAATGGTCCAGTATCGAAATGTTAATGGTTTTAACTACACTTTTACTCAACCATAGTGAAAGATGTTCTCGAGGAAGCACCAAAAAAAATCAAGTTCCTAGAGCAACGGCCAATATAACTCGCTGCATCACAGGAGAGCAGTTGAATTGGTACATACAATTGGAATTGGCTAGCTAGTCTAGGTACTTTATCTTACAGTCAAGAAATCCACATCGGTCGTGTAGAGAATAACACGTGTAATTCGCCAGCATTAAAAGTTCTCTGAACTGATTTTCTTAGTTTCTTCGTAATTATTTCATTTGGTGTATCGCCCTTGAATTGCAGTCATGCATAAAACAGCTTCCTGTTTACGGTTAGTGAGTAGTCCTTTTCCGATTTCTTTGTCATATGTTTCTTGTAACTTGAAAATTCCCATTCAGTCATAGAGAAGAAAAAGTGTTCAGCAAAGAGTTACTCTTTTCGGCGATATCATTCTCAAGCTGTACAAATCGCAAATTTATACTAATTTGTCTTGGCAACAGATCTTTGGAAATACTCCTTTTGTTGCCAAGACAAATTACTATAAATTTGCGATTTGTACAGCTTGAATATGTTTCTTGATAAATATGTAGGGATAGCTATTTTCGATCAAATTATCATATACAATGCTTAATTCATCTTCACTTACTTCTTCTGAGTATATAGCTCTAACTAACCCTGTGGC